AGGATAATAAGAATCCTCCGGGTATTGGTAAGCTGAAAGATAAATCAAAATGAAAGCGGCAGCATCTGGTCGGGAAATACATGTAATAATTTTAAAATATCTGCCTTCATGCTTAAAACGCTTGAAATGAAAATTTCGGTGAAGATTATTTGAACTATAAAAAATGGGATTACAATAATAATAATAAAATGATGCGTCTTAATAGCCGTTGGTTAATAACTTAACGTATAGGTAGTAAGTGTTTTGTGTGTAGAAATATTAAAATAATGAATATTGTAGAAATGTTAATATTGTTATTAGTTTTGGTTTAAATTATGAAATCAAATAACGATTATGCCGGTAAGTTGTCCATATGAGTTGAATTCCAATTGCATCTGTATTAGTAGGCTAACTGAAGGAACAAAAGTATACCGTGGAGAAGAATTCCAACTAGTGTTCCAGTTAGTTTGATACGGTTTATTTAGTTACGGGGAGATTTTCTCAACCTCATTTTTACTTGACCGTGATAGAATTTAGTAATACTACTAATACACATTAATGGTTATCAAAATAAAATTTAAATACATGAGTGATAATTATATGGATTTTGGACAGATAGCTAGGAAAAATCGTTAAACATGAGTGTGTTCCTAAGAGATATGCTCTAGACTCAATGTTCTGATCTGCGATAGACTATTTATTTATATTTATACTTGCCGGCTGATGGGCATACAAGTTAGTTGCACGTATGCGGGCAGAATGCGATTTAAATGAGATATGGTGATTATAAGTTACTGAAATCAGTTAAGCCTGTGTCACATTACTAAGTGATGTGGTGCTGTAAGATGTACTCGGCCAAATACGTTTTTACAGGATGATTAACCGTGAGTGATGCTCATGTGATTATCAGGGAGTCCATAAGTTGTAACCAAGGGGAGTACACTCCCAACTCATGTCTATGATAATGGCTTGAACCTTAGTCAGTGTTGGGGTAAATTCGACATTGATGTTTTCAGTTTGCAGGAGATTTGCTCGACTGCTTATACTGATTATTTGCATGCATGATTGTGTCGCTAAACCATCAATTAGACTGACAAGGTTTCGAGATATTTACTTAATGAGCAACTGATAGAGAAACATACTGTAATCATCTGTGATGGATGAAGATACCAAGAAAACAACACCATTTAATGGTAATTATAAGTCAATTTGTTGACCGATTTCGTTAATAGTTTCATTAATTTTATCAGTCATATTACGTGATTGTCAAGTTATGACAATGCTTTATGACGATATCCTGAAACTATTAAATTTAACTAGTTATAGTGTTGATTGAGGATTAGTCAGTGGAAAAATAGTATTGTTGCTTTAGGTGATTCGAAATCATCAGAAACTTATAACGTTAAAGAATCCGAGACGCCTAATTTAATTATAAATTTCAATTCAGAAATATTCGTTTAGTGTTAATTCTAGTAGGCTACGGAGTTTTGATTTGAAACCTTTGTTTAGCCAACAGCTACCTGAGGATTTAGTTATTTTACTAGTGCAGTTGATAGTACCTAAATTTTTAATCTTATTATCTAAACTATGTTCGCATTTTAGGCTGCTAATATGATAAACCAATCCATAAACTCAAATATGATTAGCAACAACGACTATGATGGGTTTATTGATAAATGTTAAAGGCGATTCAGATGATTCCTAAATTTAGAAGACATGAAGATATTAAGTAACGTATGTATGGGCCAGGTTAACAAGCGGGTTGTTGACGTATATGACGATTTAAAAATAATGATGACCAGAAAATAATTTCAAAGTTAAGACTGCTTGTGAAACTTCAGGCAGGAATATGACGCGTTATGAACCGCATTTAGCCTAGGGACACTTACAAATATATGGCAAGAGCAACTGGAAAACATATACATGTTAAGTACAAAAAAAATCATTAAGTAAAATAACTGAACTCGCCTGGGTTATTTTTGAAAATTAGATTATTCAGTGGACGACATATATAACGCCATTCGTGAGTAGTAATGATCCAAAAGCATCCAGAATAAAACATGCAGTATGGCAATTAATTCCAGGGTGCTTGATGCTGTTGAGGTTTTTGACACTCGCTCGGATCAGAACAATCGAATGAATCCAGATAATTGTATGGTTGTCATTGAACGAACCATCTAAAAATGATTGCAGAAAACTTATAGCTGAAACCCACCGTATGTTTTTGGAGTAGTCATCCTCGTTGTTTGGCAATGGAACTCGAGAATATGAAATTAGGCAGGCAGTGGTCGGAAGAAAAGATATTACAGGATAGTGCATCGTTTAAAACAGGATGTGTTAAGTGAAGGAACACTGAGAATTAGATCCAGAGAACTATTTAGTCCTTGATCGCATTGTTAGTCAATGTATATTTACGCTATTTACAGGTCATATTTGCTAGAGCTTGATGTTTAAACAAGACTATGTCGCTGAAGCATGTAAATGCTATTACAGCTTGTTAACAAACCATCAAAGCTAATTAGTTAATAGAGACGACCAGTTTTTATTATCGATTGAGCTAGTTTGTCATGAGGACTAATCAATATTACATTACGATAATGCATGTGAGCATTAATCAGAGGACTATTAGAATACAGTGTTAACATAAATATAAAATCGATCGAGAAAGTTGAAGTGGAAATAAGGATTAATAATAATAGGTTGCGTTTCTTTAGTTGGGCTCACCAATGTAGAATTATGGTCTACTATGATATTAGTACTGCTCTAATAATAGACCTAATCCTAAATTTGTAGATTTGTCATGATATAACTGCCTAATCTATAAGATCCTACGTGGAAGTCACACCATCGACTACACCAACTCACTGTATCGTATCAATTACCAATACATGATGTAGAACAAGGTTAGGTTAGAGAAAGGACAATATATTTAATAAGAATAGAAGATATAAAGTAACATTGAGATGGACCACGCCTGCATGGACGAGTCATGCCACTCGACCAACTCCAGTCCATTCAATTCCTTCTCCGCGCCTTCTCCATTGTTAGGTATTTCCCCGAGTTAAATATTGAATATCTATTTTCTGGGTAGTCTCGTGTTAACAGCTTTGTGGATTGTGTGGCTATTGTCCAATGCCACTACAGATCTAACCTCCTACACGAACAGGCTTACAAACGCAATGCGTTCAGTTAAACCTGCTTCCACTCGACCTCAATCAACTGATGTTTTCGTTCAACCTGACTTACGATATAGTACACACGTTTTCATTCGTCGAGACTCGCATCGACGACCATTCGAATCAGCATACGAAGGACCCTTCAAAGTTCTTCAACGTGAATCTAAGTACTATATAGTCGATAAGAACGGAACCAACGATAGTATCAGCATCGATCGCTTAAAAGCAGCGTATTTAGAAGGAAATCCTATCTACGTGGATTTTCCCTCGGTACAATCGAACGACATGACTCCGACACTTATAATACCTCATTCGACAACCAACACACACGATGATACTTCGACAGTATCCGAAAATAAACTTAAAACGACGCGTTCTGGAAGAAGGGTGAGATTTCCAGAACATTTAAACGACTATTGCACGTAAGGCACTTCTCGACATTTTATATTATTTAAAAAAAAACAATTTTAATATGCTTATATATTTTTATTTCTATTTAAAGAAAAAGAAAACAAAAAAACAATTTTTTTTAACGCTATTACGTGTTCATGAGTTTATTTTCCATTTTTTTTTCCGCCGACATTGTGCTTTTACGCACATACGAGTGTATTTTCGACATGCACTTACATTTTCTTTTTTCTTTTCCAGGACGGCTGGAAAAGAACGATGACGTTATGAGGATCCAAAATTTTCATTGTACATTTTCTTTTTTTACTATGTTGTACCTCCGTCCCATATAGTAAGGAAAGACGACCAGACGCTGCTAAATTTAGTAAGCTATCAGAAGAGTGTTTACCAACGACAAACTCGTTGGGTTTAAACTTCTGGCTGGCCACGTCTTAGGGTCGTCACTGCCCCACTAGGGGGGAAGTGATCTGTAGCGGTAAATAAATCCCCAAAACAAATAGCACTAAGTTTTCGACATTGGATGCTGACCATATGTTTTAGTGGACTCATCTAGCTGAAGGCGCTCGGTCAGGCATCTGCACCAGATCACGTGTGGTAACGCCGTGCTCAACATCAATAGCGATCGCTAGCCAGATTAGATCAGAGAATTCCGATATATTGGTCATCGCCAAATATACTCTTCCGATCTCCTCGACTCTGTCTTTTGATTTCTCTGGGCGGGAACGAAATATATTAGAAGGTGTTACTGGTAGAAGCGTTGTCAAACACTGAATACCTGTGACGTCATCAGGATTATAAGATTATAAGAAGTGAATTCGAACCTCTTCTTTCCCACTAGATATATCAGAGGACATGGCAGGTGTGTTCACAAATTCAAGAACAAGCAAAATGTCTGGGATGTGCAGTTTCTCACTAAGTAATCAACTTTGGACCTACTATCGAAAACAGTGGTATATACACCTTTAACTGACTCAATCAGGAGAGTACTAGACGGTCATAGAAGTATTCTAAAAAATTGGCGACACAGGTCTTTGGACCTCTGCCTTAAATCCGACTCGCGGACTACTCACAACCGTTTTCTGTGTTTAGTCAAGATTGAGTTCGGAAAATCTCCCACAAAATATTTGCATAGATATGTCTCTCTCGAAACGTTTCCAAAGAAGGATGTCTGTGACGGTACTAGGAGTAGAAGATGGACGACTTTCCTCAGGTACTCTGAGATTATTGCCATGTGTTACTCTTCATTAGCTTATGCTACGATTAACCAGCAATTTTCTGCTTTACATTCCGAAGAAACACCTTATGAACTAATCTTCTTTGAAACAAGAACGTTCTATTACTATCCAGAAGAAGATCTCATGAAACAAGCAGTTCCATATCACGACAGAACGGCCTTCCGGTGATTCCAGCTTTCTAATGGTTATTTAGCTTAGATCGGTTCGATATTTCAACAGGATACGTTACTATCGCGGAAAAATTTGAGGCTTGAAGCTATACCGTATTTCAAGGTCAGACCAGCAAACGCTAATGAACTGATTGTGACAAGTTCTTTTGAGGCGGGTTCATATTTCTTAGTTTATGTCTCCAAATCAAGTATATAGATAATAATAAGTAATTACAGATCCAACTAAGATATATTACGGTTTATTTTATTTGCCCGAAAATTTATCTAAAACTCACTTCTTGTTTTTAGAAACTGGTTAACATTTGTAAGCGACCAGTTGTTAGCTTTCAAGAACTGAAATTGTGATTACATGGTGTAAGGTTTCTCTGTGTTAAAACTTCGCCTTGAATCTTTATCCTTCGGTCTTCAGTAGTATATACTACGTAATAATTATTACGTTTTTGAACCATTTTTCCAAAATTTTCCATAGCGGCTTCCTCGAAATATACAAAGTTTTCCCCCAAAATAGTGAGACTAGTACATTTCGTAACAAGCTTTCATGCTTGACTAACTTGCTTATTGCGAGGGAGGATTGGACAGCAGCCCTAGATAACGGTCTGTCTGTCGACGTGATATTCATAGATTTTAGCAAAGCGTTTGACAAGGTTTCACACGTAGGTCTTATGCAGAAGCTCACGAGCTTCGGAATAATAGGTACTGTGCATGAGTGGATAGGAAATTTCTTATGTGACCGCAGACAGAGAGAGAGTCAACGGAACGCTATCCGATTGGAAGCCGGTCAAAAGTGGTGTACCCCAAGGCACCATCTTAGGCCCTCTGCTCTTCCTTCCCTACCTTAATGAGTTACCACTGTTACTTAGTTCGTCGACATTATTGTTTGCGGACGATGTAAAAATCTGGAGAACAATAAAAAGTGCGGCTGATCATCTGGATCTTCAAGCTGACTTAGACGATTTAGTTAGATGGCCTCGAGAGTAGGGCTTAAAAATCAATGCTAGGAAGAGTGTGCTAATGCACATTGGTCACGGTTAGCAGTACGACTTCGCCTTCGGACTTTGGGTTTGTTGCTTTTAGTCTTACCGCTCATCAACCAACCTGTCTGACATGGTAGGACCTTGAGGAACAGTTGTTCCAGCCAGTATAGCTTGATTGATTCATAATGATAGGCAAGCCCCACCACCATGTCGAGGTAGCAACAATGGTCGGGGCCCTTACACTTGGTGTAGCTCATATCTAAGTACTTGATACATAAGTTAATTTACTCCTTAATTTAAATGTTTTGGAAAAGTTTACGCTGAAAGCGAAATGAATAGTGTTCATATTTAGCACAAATGAGAAAAGTTTTACTCTTAAAATAGTAATAAGTGCCAACAATACGTGTACATTGTTCAGAAAGTAAAATGACGAAAATTATTACTGGCTCTCACACAAAATTTCCCTTTAAATGTGAAGTGATAGAGATGACAAATCGCAACTTCTTGTCGGCTCATCCATAGGCTACTTCAAATTACTGTAATCCATCACGTGCATTTAATCTGAAAAACGACTAAATCGTGTATAAAGTATTTAAAACTTTTTATAAAGGGTATCAAACAGCTTATTAGATGCAGCTCTTGTGTAAATACAAATTCAGACACTTCCTATATTTTCCAATCCAAAGACAACTTCTGTCTCGATTGATATCTAGGTGTTTCCACTGTGCTCCTATATTAAGAAAGGCTTTAAAGAGTACTTCATTTCGCCAAGAGATATACTCCAGCGTTCTAATTTTGTATGGGTTTTCACTAGAAATATATATCTTTTCTTAAGAATTACAATTAACTTGTACTTGATTGTCTCATAGACATATAGGTCTCAACCGAGATCATATGTTATTTAAGTATGCATAAACATAATTTCGTTAGTTGATGAGTAGAAATGTCCATTTCAGACTCTCATACAACTAGGTGTCTACATCTAGGATTATTTATTGTTTTCATTCATATTTTGTTTCCTGCAACCTTTACGAAGCGTGATAGATTTAACCAATGTATTCAGAGATAGAATGGAAATTTCCAGACTGTAGCCTGCTTTTTTCTTCAGAGTTGTGAATGTTGATATCTTCCAGTAGAATTCGGACATTAAAAATATGTTGATGGAATAACTCATTTATCATGGAGGAGGATTAATGATAAATGGGTTTCGGATTTTCAAAATAAATTAGCAGAATACTAATCAATGAACAAAATGGAATGATACGAAGTGTACAATTGATGTCGACTCTCGATAGTGAAACTCACGAATGAACTGATATCGGAAGATGCGACAGCTGTTTAGTAAAACAGTTTTTATGTGTAATAAGATAACACAAAATCGACATAATTTATTGTAATTAATGACTAGACTATCGATTTCATAGGTTGTTCGCTCTCCAATAAACCAAGACGTTGTCTATCATATCGCCTTTACAAAATAGTGTAGGATTCTTTTGTGATTGTAGTAAGACATTAATGCTGTTTACTTGTTTCGTATGTTCTTCGATCTTCATTGGGATTGTTTTTTCTGTTTTGTTTACCATCCACAGCTACGACATTAACATAAACATAGACGTCCCTTTATCATTGCTTGATTGATAATCCGACATAAATTTTGGATTTCACTTTCTACTCTCTTTAGGCTTGGAATTTGTCGCATAATTTGAATTGTCACGATGTGCGCACTAAAATTACCGTCCTGCTGTTACTGAGTGTCAGTGGTTTTGGTTCGTTCATTTGGTACGTGGCGGCTAATCGCCCGAATTTTCTGTAAACTGAGCGTTGAGAAATATTCAAAGATTGGACAGTTAAATTTCAATAATTTTCTGAAAATTAAGGCTAATGGGCTTCAACTAGATCTGAATCACCGGAGACTTCAAACTTCATTGGCTCAATTGTAACGTCGCTTGTAATTACTGTATTATTGGATGAATTGAAATTTTCTGTGATAAGTTGTCTTTGAACTGGATTTTATTCTGGATAAAGGATTTGTTGGTGGAGTTAAGATCTCAATTTATTTAAAAATATTTTGATAGCACTGACTGAATGAATATTGATTTCCACTCATTCACTGTAATAGACATTTTAACAGTAGATTTTTATCCTCAACCTCACTGTTATAAAGGGGGATTCGATAATTTGATGAACAGTAAATAGAATGCAATAATATGAAATGACAAATTGATATCTGATCATGGTACCGAATTACTGATTGAAATCCCCAAATGGACGTATATCAGAAAACAAGACAGTAAAATAGGGTTTTCATGTATTTATAAATATGTAGCTCTAGGTTCTTTCCACTTCAGTATCGCCTCATCAATTTTTTCTCATGATAAATAGTACCAGCTATGCTCGTTTGTACTTCTGTAATCATAAAAAGTTTCGTCTAGAATAAGCGTATGATCATATTTTAGAAATTTGATTGATTCTCTTAGAATCGAGTGTCAGTACAGTATGTAATTATAGACTTGGGATTCTGAAGTATACAAGTTTCTCCATTTTGAACTACTTTTAAAGAAATCTTGTGTGTGTATTGCATTTTTTGATCCGTATACATTGTGATATACTTAACTTTTGCAGGTCATGAATCAATATATTATACCATTAGCACATAACGACCCAAGACTTTTTTCTCATGTCTCACAAGCCTTTTCCTTGGTTGATCTTGGCAAGCGTTTACTGGATGCCGCAAAAAACGGAGATGTCGAGGAAGTCAAGAATTTAATAAATAATGGAGCACCGTTTACTACTGACTGGGTAAGTTATTTGGCTTATTCACAAAGTCATGATTGGTGTTCTTTTTGTGCTTATGAGGTATAGCAACTTGAACCGATGCATATATGCGCCTGATCCTACGTTGTAGCTGACTGACTGAAAGTTGTAATTGAACAGTAGAACTATGTATTTCTAGCGTTTATGCATGTTCCGTGACATGGGCTTCTATAAATTAAAACGTCAGGCTTGGTTTATTCAGCACCTAACATCCTAATATACTTACTTCTGTTGCTTCTCGTGGATCATAAGCTGTTGATCAGGAGTCTCTAAACTATTCTATCTTGAGCTCCTTTCCAATTGTTGAAAGGTGCTATCAATTATTTTGATGTCTACCTCCAATTCCCAGCACCATATGTTCTTTGGTCTCCCTCTTTTCTTTTTTATTTGAGAATTCCAAGCCAGGGCTTGATTTCTGATGCAGTTCGATGATTCTCGCAATGTATATCCTATCCACCTCCAACATTTTTTCCTAATTTTCTCTTCAGCTGGAAACTGGTTTGTTCTCTCCCACAGAAGGCTGTTGCTGATGGTATCTGGTCAATGGATGTTGAGTATCTTGCGCAGACAGTTGTTTATAAATACTTGTACCTTTTTGATGCTGGTTGAAGTAGTTCTCCGCGTTTCAGCTCCGTACAGTAGAACTGTCTTGACGTTTCTTATTGAAGATTCTGACTTGGATGTCGACTTACAGACAGCTGTTTTGATTTCCATATGTTCTTCAGTTGTAGGAATGCTGTCCTTACTTGGTTATCCTTGCTTTTACGTCTGCATCGGATTATCCTTGTTTATCGATGATGCTACCCAGATATGTAAAAGTTCTGACCTCTTCCAGAGCTTCTCCATCAAGTGAGATTAGGTTGGTGTTCTCTGTGTTGTATTTGAGAATCTTGTTTTTCCCTTTGTGTATGTTGAAGCCTACTGCTGCACAGGCTGCCACTAAACTGGCTGTATTCACCTGCATTTGTTGGTCTTTATGGAATAGAAGAGCTAGGTTATCTGCGAAAGGGGGAGAGGAAACAGCCTTATCTGACTCAGGTCCTCACTTGGAATGGATCTGTTAGTTGTCCTCTGTACACGAATCTGCAGTGTATTTCGTCGTATGAATCCCGTATGACGGTTACAATCTTCTTAGGTACACCGTAGTGTCGAACAAGATGCTTTAAGGTTCTGCCATCTGTACTGTCCAATACTTTCTCACAGTCAAGGAAGTTGATGTATAGTGACGAGGTTCATCCAACCGATTGTTCAACAATATTCCGTATTGTAGCGATTTAATTGACACACGATCTATCCCTACGGAATCCATTCTGTTTATCTCGAAGTTGGGCACCTGCTGAATTTTCCTTTCAGCTCAACAACACTGTGTTGAAAACTTTTCCTGGGACTGGTCAGTGGTTTAATACCTCTATGGTTCTCACGTTTACTAAGATCTCCTTTCTTTAGTATTTTAATGAGGTATCCTTCTATCTAGTCTGTCGATACTTGTTTTTGTTGTGACTTTAAGTTCGGCTGGTTATCACGTGATTTACCCGCCGATCGAAATACAATCTTCACACTGTGCTAAACCAATGACGTTCGACCAGTGTGAGCAGCCTAGAGTCCTTATTGGTCCCTTGCTCGCCTAGCCGTTCCAGTTGAGTCCAGAACACTAATACAGCTTCTACTATGAGAATCATTTATTTCAGAAATACTGGGTTTATATATCAACCAAACAGACCGCAACGCACCATAAAATAGGAAATAACATCTATGTACAATAAAGCCAGAAGTGGCTGTGAACGTGGGATACAGTAATTAATAAACAGAGTATAACTTAAGAACAGTAAATCGTACAATAATAATCTATAGGTTAAAATGAAGCTTATAATAAGATGAACATAAATATATACAATCTAATTACTGGATAGTTATACCATAAGGATGTATAGATAATATTAGTCCATTATGGGTCTCAGAAGTTACTCGTAATTTAATCTTCGCTAGGATATAACAGCTTTTCATCCTAAATCTTTCCAAAGAGAATATGGAGCATCTTCGTAGTTACTTCTAAGTCTAAATTAAGTGCCTCAGCTGGTATGCCATCTGGTCCTTCTGCTTTGCCATCCTTGATTTGTCTCATAACCAGGCTGATCTCCTTGATTGTTGGTGCGGTAACATCTGCAGGTAGGTCTGTAGATACTCCTTCGATGTCCATTGTGCTCAGCTGACCCGGTCTGCCGGAGAACTCTTCAAAATCCCCTAGCAACCTTTTCCTTCGTTCTTTGATCTGTGGTTGGTTTGCCTTTTTTGTTCTTGGCTGGTGGCTTTAGTGTACCATATTTTCCTGATAGCTTTGTTGTTCCGTATAGTTGTTTTAAATTTCCATCTCTTGCAGCTTTTTCTGCTGTCATTGCTAGGTCTTCCATGTATTTCCGTTTATCGGCCCTAATCCTCCTCTTCAGTCATTTGTTTTCCTCTGTGTATTCGGCCTTTACTTTGGCTTTCTCTGCTTTTGTTCAGCTGTTGTTGATCGGTGTGTTGTTCTTCCATTCTCGAATCTTGCTCAGGGAATCAACAGAGATGCACTATTTATGCTGATGCTTCTACCTCCTCAATCTATTTGCCATCCCTATCTAGTACCCTATTCCCAATTCCGCCATTGCTTAGTGGGTGCAATACACGAGCAATGCTTCGGAGACACCTATGGTTGAATACTGGTAACCCACGAATATTCTATATTGCTAATGGCGGTTTTTCACACCCATAAACTGTTTCACAGTAAACTTGTTCTTTGGTTGGTAGATGGATATCTCACGTACTCCACAAGTGGCTCATGTTGGCAAAAGCAAACTGAGCTTTCTGAATCTGTGCCAAGGTTTCTTCATAAACCAGCCCGCAAGGACTGATGAAATTTTTAAGATAAGTGGGGCAGTTGACACACCCAGCTACTTCACACCCAATCATAAATTTAGGCGATAACACAAACGAGTTTTAAAGCAGCATTTTGCATTTGGAGAGAGAGCCGAATCTCAAACAAACTTCCATTTTTACTCAAGTTGGTCGGAAGATTGCATTTTGTCAGCGTCTTCAGCAAACAAAACTATATCGTCAACAAGCGAATCGCCTGGTTAAAGATAAACCCCTGAAAAGTCAGGTGATTAAAGTGTTATCTCTAAAATGGGAAAAGTAAACAGCCCTGACGAACACCATTTAAAGTCACCAATTCGGACGACAATTCGCCATAACCTCGTGTGTACAGACTTCTGAGGAGTCTCATACTGGAAAGAAATAGCTACCCATTACTCCGTTGTTTCGATGGTCCTCTGGCTATATAAATTACAAAGTGATCATTTCCCTCAAAACCTTATATTCTACTCATTTTGTTGATTTTCTCATCGTGCTGATATAAATTTGTTAGAACGCGCGGACGAATATCTACACTAGATTCCCCCCAAATGTTTATTCTACAGTAATTCAAAACAACTCAGACCAAGAGTACGTGATTAGCCTGACTAGAATTTAAATATATTTCCACACAAAAAACCTACAACAACCCAGTAATAATAAGGATAAGAGAATATATAGCGCATTTAACGCCTGTCAGAAAACCTACAAGTCTGACTAAGCAAACAGCCAATCATTATCGCCTTTCCACAGACATCAAAATTAATCGTCCTGATTTATCAAATTCTCAGATAAGGTTCTGGGGATAACCACAAGTGAATTCTCTATGGGTTCCCAAAAACACAAAATTTATACACGGTTCTCGATCCGTATGTTTTATATAAAAAGGCTTACTTTTTGATTCAGATGATAAAATCTATTTGTATTTATCATTGTTATTTCTCAAGACTGGGAATGGTATTTCATAGTATCAAGTTGTTAGCATATATAGAACTAAAATAACCCATTGTGTCATTGAATAAAAATAAAGAGGATTCAGCAAAGAAAACCCAACTATAAATACGAATGTACGGCGTAAACAAATGATTTCGCTGGAAAGAGAATTTTCTTTGTTTAATTCTCTTTTTTTGTGCTTGCTATAATTTTCATTACTTCTTTATAGTTGGGAATATCTCCTCTCCATTTCGCTGCTATGAATGGACATCTTAGTTCATGTGAAGCGCTCCTACGTGCTGGTATTAGCAGGGACGCTCGGACTAAAGTTGATCGTACTCCTCTCCATTTAGCTGCTCAAGAGGGTCACGCAGATATTGTGGAGCTTCTGTTACGTAATGGAGCGGATCTTAGTGCTAAGGATATGTTACGTATGACAGCACTACACTGGGCAGCCGAAAGAGGTCATACACCTGTTGTTCAAATGTTGATGCGTTTTGGAGCTGACGCACATCTCCAGAACAAATTCGAAATGACTCCTTTAGATATAGCTGAATGTAAGCAACACGATGATGCTCGGGATGCTATGTTAGTAAGTCATATACGTATCTGTCTTTTCTGAAACTATGCAAAGTTTATATTCGGTTTTTACATTGTCAATTAGGAGACATTTTGGTAAATATTATAGTTCAAATATCGTGATTTCATTTACATGTCACTGATTATTATACTAACAGGAAGTACATGTTACTAAAAGATTGGTCTGAATTGCAAAACACCCGTGCAAATCGTAATGTTCCACTGTGATAACTCTGGAATAAGCTCGTCACATTCTAGGCGGTAAGTTGGTGAATTTTGTAGACTAACACACCTAATGATTTTGTATCAGTTAATAAGCTGAATGCTACATTGACATTAGTAGATGAACTCAAGTGTAGGATTATTATCCTTTCTAGAAGATAACAGGATAGTTGTCTGTAACTAGAAAGAATCTAAAGCATACAATTTACTTTATCTTCTATAAATGGATGATAACCTATACCGTACAAAAATGGTATATTGTTCATCTCAACATTTTTTTTCATCAACTTTCGAAATCTCTACAGAATACTCAGTATGATTTAGTATCGTCAGTCGGTCGTATGGCTGCCACGAATGGGGATATAGTAGGTGCTAACGCATACATCTTAACGGAAGAAGAGACGTTAGTTCCGGCTGCTCCTCCAGCTGATGAGGTGACTGTCACCGCGACAACGGTTGAGGAGTCTTCCAACATACAAGACTCTGATATCTCCGAAACATTCTCAAATGGTGGTGATGCTTCTAATGAAGATGAAAAAATCACAACTCTTACGAAAGTAAAAAGTGGTCACAGTGGTTCTAATAAACGAATATGGAAAACTGAATTAAGTGAAAATACAAATGTCAATCTTCATGGTGAAAATTCGGAAGCCCAAACCATTCCTTATTCATTATCACAGTCAACACAGGCAGATAATACAAATTATATTCCGAATATTAAAAATAAACCAAATTTATCTGGTGATATTTTATTGCCTTTGGATGAAGATTGTCCAAGAGATGTTGTAAGCTGTGTGATCTTTATTTTCACCCTTAAATTTTCGCTGAAATGCTTGCTTTTTATATTGTACTACTACCACTACTATCTGCTTAGTAAACCATGAAGGTAATAGTCCCTCTCTAGTCTACCATGGTATTCGAATAGCCGTGAAAATAGTATTGTTATCTATCAATCATTTAAACCAAAAGGTTGTGAAGGACCATTGGGTTTTGGTGGTCTGCTGAATTGACAGGAACTCGGAAACTCATCACATCAGGTTCAAAACGCGGTAACCAAAGACAACTTAAACGTTGACGGACATATAGTGTACGCAATAATCGTGAGTTGTGATAGGTAATGAAAGCAAGAGATGAAATAGTTCTGGCGACAGGAAACACAAGATAATTTTTCAAACCAGTCCGAGAAACATTTTAAAAAGTCAAGTATTGATGGAATTATCCCCGAAAGAGACGGGACCGTAATCTACTCTCCCCTCTAGAAGGTTGATAAAATGACCAGGATACTGCGATTAACAGTTTGCTTGCTATTTACACTGTATTTATATACTATTCCTAGATAAATGGGTGATCGACACGAGCCACCAACACCTACCGATATCGGGAAGACCCTCTAATCTGAATCGAGAGGGGTTGGGGGAACCTGGTGGACGAAGTCTGGATATCCTTTAAGATGGTGGCCAAATTTTGGCAAAAGTCTGAAGAGTGGACATAATCCCATCTAAGTTGTCTTGATGACTGGTCTTTCCAGTGTATAAAAGAGGACTGAGATTTTGTGGTAACCATTGGGGTATTTGTTTGACCAATATATTGTGTTGAGTTTTATTCTCAATAATCGTTTAGTGCTTGACTAGGGCTCGTATATGACAAATTCGGGAAAACTGGGCTGGTTACACGTCTAGGCGTGCATGTGTGGATCACACACCTCTTCTTTAGTTTCTAGAACAGGCCTACTTACCGACACCTTGTCATAACAGTATGTTCTGACTTGAAGATGGTGTCCCACTCCGTAGACCTACATGTTTTGTAGTGATTTCTGTCATAGAAAGACTTGCTAAAGAAGTTTATCGTCTACTTAAAGGATTTCTACCAGAACACTATTAGTGAGATCAGAGATTGTATCGAACTATCATCAGAATTGGTAACTTCAAATGGTGTTCATCAAGGTTGCACAACCCCATTTTTATTTAACTTCGTCATAGGAAATCTCTGAAAGAGATAACGCTTTATTTGTCTGACTTTTCTGGGATCGATCTCCTAACAAATGATTCACTAGTGGACTCCAACTACACAGATGATGTAGTTCTTTTTAGTGCAGATACTGACAACTTGCAGTTTCTCCGTCGTCCTGGATAACAATATAAGTGCGTTTAAGATGTATTTCTCCTTGTAAGTCCAAAGTGTTGCTTTGACACCTAGGCTGAGAATGTTGAACACTTCATTTATCTTGAAAGTTTTATCAGTCCAGGTGGTTTAAATGCAGGACACTAGGTAAAGATGGTAAATCTTTATCGACTTGGGTGGTTGTGGCTTTTGGTATGTATGTTGAACCACCGTCTTCCACGACAAACAATGTTCGTTGATGTAGGATTAGTTTGAAAGGAAGTTAGCGGCCCCCAAAGCAGGACAGAATCAATCTCTGCAGTCATTGTTTGTTGGACGGAACCGGTGTCATTAGGCGCAAATTACTCGATATGATCGGTGTAATAACCGTAATCAGTGGTTATGAGCATTGGCTGATATGGCTTAGTACTGATCACAATGGTGCAGACTCATTCCCTTTATTTTCCCCTCAGTCTTATTTCTCTACACTATTTCATACTTTTTATTCACCCAATCTATCCACTTTGGAATTATATTCTCTAATGTTTAATCTGTCTTACCTATTGATACTACTATCATTTCGCTATTCATCGTATTTTCATATCGTTTTGGTGATTTAGTTTGAGAACCTTGGGTAGTGCACATTCGTATCGGGCTCTATGTTAATGATAACTGGTCTGGTAGTAGGTTGTATGAAGTGTAGTGTGTAGTGGTCCAGACAACTGTATCAATCCTTACTCCACGCTGGAATACGTTCACCATATTCTTCATCATTATAGGTGGCAGTAAATCTCGAGCTAAATTCACTTCGTCACCAACATCACTCCATTGTTAGTTTCTTAGTACAAAACCTTGTGATTTCGTTTAATGAGGCCTCACTTCTTCACAGAGTTGTGTTGGTGTTCAAATAAAAAGTTTGATATCTGTAAGGTTTGTGTTTTAATGGATGCAGAACGATAGCTTATTAGCTTAGCACTGTAATTCGAATCAGTGTCTCGCTAGTGTCACCTCGACTTCAATAGCTGCGTCATCCATAGCTCTCACAATAGTGGTGGTTATACCTTGGTTCAAAAATGTGTCATTAGGATCTGATTTGGGTACAGTAACGGTTTTCAACCCTAAAAACGGAAAATAAGTGACAGCTTGTAATTTGTTTCCAAACTTTCATTGATCTAGTAAACTGAACAAGTTTTCGACCCCTATACAAATTTTAATGTGGTTTTGATGTCTGACATTGCTTATACAAGTTGTCAATAGGATGCTCTTTCTACTGATTTTCTTGACAGATTTTTACTCCAGTTAGTCATCATACTCAATATTTGAAAGTCACTATCACTACCCAAAGAAAACCCGACCATTGTTGCTACCTTGACGTGGTGGTCGGGCTTGCCTATCATGATGAAGCAACCGAGCTATACTGACTGGAACAACTGTTCCTCAAGGTCCTACCATGTCAGACAGGTTGGTTGATGAGCGGTAAGACTAAAAGCAACAAACCCAAAGTCCGAAGGCGAAGTCGTACTGCTAACTGTACAGAGGTGTGACAGCAGTAAGGTGTTTCCTTTAGGCAACCAGCATGACAGCGATGCTGCCTTCCCACAAGGAGGGGTGGGGTTAGAAAAGGTCGACCCTAAAAATGCACACCTCGCCTTATCACACGAACATCCGTCTCCAGTAGTAATGTCTCAACAAGTATGGAGCTAATACGATGATTACCCATAATAAGATCGTGTGTGACCGACCTCAAGCAGTTGTCCCTTGGGCACTGCGGTCACGCTCTCGGGTCACTAAGACCACCTCTAACCCAATTTCATATTTCAGGTACCTCCAGAAGAACTCTTCCACGGAGTGGGCAACCGGGAAGTGATAACCGCCCTCATACCTCTAACAGCACTCAAGACCACTGTATTCATAATCAACCTCCGTATTCACTTCCTATTATTCCTCCTACATCGGCTTTCACCTCTAAACTTCCTTTTTCGGCTTCCTCTTCAAGTGTCACCATAGCCAACGATTCTAGTGCTCAAAACTCTGTCCCAGGTCTACTGAAACCCCGCTCCAAACTACACATTGGAGCCTTCAACGTACGCACCCTGTGTCAAATCGGTCAACAGGCTTCCTTGGCTAGAACCCTAGAATCTCCTACCATTGATGTATGTTGTGTCTCCGAAACACATACAGAATCCTAGTTTGGTCATTCACTTCACCTCACCTCGCCAAAACGGAGAGCCGATGAGATACACCCTCCATGTATCTGGCGACCCGATGGCCAGCTCTCGTGGACTGGCAGGTGTAGGCATAGCACTAAACATGAGGGCGGAATAAGCACTGTTAGAGTGGATCCCCGTTAACAGTCGTTTATGTGCTGTTCGGCTAAACGGCTCCGTAAGAACTCGGAAGGATAGGGACACACGTCGTTGCCTTTTTGTCGTTTCTACCTACGCTCCCACCGACTGCAGCTCAGATGAAGTGAAAGATGTATTTTACAGAAAGCTATATGAACTTCTTCAGAAAGCTAAACGTTCAGACATAGTACTCGTAGCAGGTGACTTTAATGCCTAGATAGGTGGTTTAAACCAAACAGAAAGGCATTTAGGTGGGTATTTCAGTATTCCGGCTCAGCAAACAGATAATGGTGATCGTCTGCAGCAACTGTGCTCAGACAATCGTTTATATTTAGCAAACACAAATTTTAAGCATAAGGAGAGACATCGTCTAACATGCCGACCTCCTGCATCAAACCAACGATGGACTCAAATAGACTATATTGACATCAGTCTTCGTTGGAGAGGCTCGATAGAAGATTGTTGCTCATTCTGGAATACCTGCTTGGACTCCGATCATCCTCTAATACGGGCACGCATCTGCTTGCACCTCACTGGACGCGGAAAATCCACAGTAAAAAGACCCATTAGAATTGAATTGAGTAATGAGAAAACAAAAAGTAGGTTCCAGGAACAACTGAGGTCACAATTAGGTAGTTCTGAAAACGAGACTGACCCATATGTTGCTTGGAAAGATATAAAAGCAGCTGTGGAAACAGCAGTGACATCTGTTAGTGATTTAAACCAAAGGGTTACAAAGAACCAATGGATTTCCTCTAGGTCTGTTGCACTGATGGATTCTCGTAAACTCGTCCCATCAGGCTCTGAACACGATGAAGAACGAAAACAAATCAGATCTAGGTTAAACAAAAGTCTAAGGAACGACTGTGGGCAGTGGTGGGCAACGAAAGCAAAATAGACGGAAAAGGCAGCGGTTGTAGATAACGCAAGACAGCTTTTCGGACTAATAAAAGAAACTCAAATTAAGAAGTCAAGTGTAAGTGAGACTAATTCAGAAAAATACGACACTTATCTGCTCCCAGTCCAGAAGTTTAGGACGATGGGCAGAACATTTTAAGGAGCGATTCAGCTGGTCTTCAGCTACTCTACAACTACCCACCATTCCCAGACAGTCTGAATGGAACATTGAAGCAGGTCTACCAACGCTAGCAGAAGTTCAAAAGGCTATAGTTAATCTGAAACGAGGAAGGGCAGCTGGTCCAGATGGATTGGCTTCAGAGGTCTTCAGGGATGGTGGTCCAATTGTAGCGATTAGGTTGACTAATATTTTAGCTAAGATCTGGGAGTTAGACGTTATTCCATCTGACTGGTCACAATCACTTATCGTCACAACATATAAGAAAGGGTCAAAATCATCCTGTGACAACCATAGAGGGATTAGTTTAACTAATATAGTATCTAAAATACTAGCCTCGATAATTACCAGACGCTTAACTAAGACTCGTGAACTGGAAACACGAGAGAATCAAGCTGGCTTCAGACCTGGTCGTGGCTGCATCGACCACATATTCACCATTCGTCAGGTTCTAGAACATAGGCATACTTATCGACGTCCGACAATGGTGGTCTTTCTTGACTTAAAAGCAGCATTTGATTCGGTAGACTGCGAGATTCTGTGGCAGTGTCTGTCATTGAAAGGTGTACCTCAGAAGTACATAAACCTTGTGAAGGCTCTTTACTCGAACACTACCAGTCGAGTCAGAGCTTATGGAGAACTGTCATCTGCTTTTGCAACCTCAAGTGATGTCCGTCAATGGTGTCCACTTTCTCCATTTTTGTTTAATTTCATCACAGGCCTATTGGTGGAACTAACATTCTCGGGTATTGATCTCCTTCCAGGAGGTCCACTTATCGACTTAGAATACGTGGATGATATAGTCCTGTTTGGTGAAGACGCTGATAAAATACAGAGTCTTTTGGTAGCACTGAGCAACAATGCCAGAATGTTTGGAATGCGCTTCTCTCCCTCTAAATGCAAGTTGTTGCTTCAGGACTGGTCTGCATCAACACCTGAACTAAGGATAGGGAGTGAAGTAGTCGAACGCATTGACAACTTCACTTATCTTGGAAGTCTGATCAGCCCTAATGGGTTGGTGTCTGACGAAATCTCAGCACGGATTCGAAAAGCTCGCTTGGCTTTTGCCAACTTACGTCACCTATGCTACATCACCTATACTGCGCGGCAGTCCGTTCTGTTTTAATTTACGGCAGCGAAACATGGCCATTAAGAGTAGAAGACACTGGTAAGCTACTAGTATTTGACCACAGATGCCTCAGAAATATTGCTGGCGTCTGCTGGGATCACCGGGTAAGTAATAGTGAGGTTCGACACAGGGTATTAGGGAATAATGGTAAATCAGTTGATGAGGTTGTGAATCTTCATCGACTGAGATGGTTGGGCCACGTGTTACGTATCCCCGAACACCGATTACCACGACGTGCAATGCTAACCGGTGTTGGAGACGGTTGGAAGAAAGTTAGGGGCGGCCAAACCAAAACGTAGCATCAGTGCTTGAAGTCACTAACTTGTAGTCCGAGCCATGTTGGTAGATGCAGACTACTTGGTTGGGGTCCGCGTGACTATCGTAACCAATGGTTGGAGACTCTTGGTGACATGGCTCAGAATCGATCACAATGGCGTCGGTGTATACACTCTCTATCTTCCCTTAAACTAAGAGATTAAAATTGCTTTATATCTTTCTTTCTACGAACTAATTATTTCTTCCTGTACTATATCCTTATTGCAATCTTTCTTTTATATATTACCACCTCTGAATTAACTACTTTTATGAATCCGGTGTCCATCTTGTTGTGTTAATGAGGTATGGCAACTTGGGCCGATGCATATATGTGCCTGGTCCTACGTTGTAGCTGACTGACCCAAAGAAAAAATTGACGTCAAGGTTTTCATTCCCTCATTGTTAGTTATAGACCGTAAATCGGCGAGCGTCTGTTAGTGCTTGAGCTCTCTGCCTGGATTTTATATTGTTTTGTGTAGTCATATATAATTTAATATCGGTAATGGATAATAGTGTTAGTAGCCAGTAGTGGGGTGGGTATTTGTGTTCACTATTTCGAAAGTGTACGGTGTTCAAAATATACTTGACTCATATTTTCATTGGACAAAGTAAAATTAAGGAAGTATCCTACTCTTTCATGTAGTGTGTAGTTTATTATTTGAGAATCATGACATCCAACTTTTTCGTACAATTTTCAAATAAATAAATAAATTTTTCATTATCAGATGATAGTTGAAACTCCGGATGGTGAAACGCTTTATGTTCATCATCAGTCTAATGAAGACGGTTCCAGTGGTCTAGTCATTTTGAATGACACAGGTGAACAGGTGAATAATCCAACTTTGATGGCACAAGTAATGGACGCGTTAGTCGCTTTGCCAGAAAATGTAATCAATGAAACTTTAAATGCAGATAAGTAAGTGACACAGTTTTAAAATATCAAGAAGCTTCAAATTTATTGGAGATTTACATTAATCTATTGAACTTAATTATGGTTTACAATTTCCCACTTGTTAGCTCTAACGTAAATATTGAATCGGAGTTAGATGCTTCATCACTTCAACGCTTGGAAAAGAGTCCAAATAACAGAAACCTGAGGTCAGAATTCAACAAGACAATCGTTAATAATGATAGGTTTTTTCAAACTAGCACTAATGGGTGTCAAACAGGAGGTCGACGACTAAGCCCTACGCATACTATAGATAATGAAGATGATGACGAAGATCTTGACAACGATGAATCAGAATCATTAGTAGCTCACTTAGCTGCATTTGCCAACCAGCCTGAATCCCAACAAACAACTATCTGTGTAGAAGGTAAGCGGAACGCTTGTGAGAATTTGCGAGATTTTGGTTTTGTCAGGGTTTACGATAATCACTTTATTCCTGAATTTCTTACACTGTAAAAATGAGTTCTATTTTCATTCTCATATTAAGGTTGTTCTAGTGTAAAACCTCTACTTATCACATTCTTATTCTGTGCTGCAAGTGCCCCCAAAACTAGTTTTCTCAGTTGCAGTTCCTAACGGATTAATCTGTTTGAAGTACGATGAGAATATGATTCTTTTAAAAAAAAACTTAGCGTTGGATTGCCTCATGTTTATCACCTTTTAAAGAGTGTTATGACCTTGGCTTTCTTGTTCATTCTTTAATTGGTCACTAAAGGAAATATACCAGACTCCAGATATAATTTTTTAGCCCGAGTACACTAAACTTATTAAACCTAAATAGTGTGAATAGTTTGAGACGTTCTATGAAACAAAAAGTTGTTGCATTCGCTTCTCCCTTAACCTTTAGGAAGTTGGTTATAGATGTTTATTGCTTGAATTTTGTGAAAGTAAAATGAATAGCTGAAACATTTTATACTTTGGTAAGAAATACGGGGACTTAAACTATTTCCAATGAAAATGAAATGTAATTACATAGAAAGAATTTTTACAAACTTACACTTCAATTCTTATGAAACACATCTCACTGGATGCTTTGTTTTAATGTAAAAGGAATGGGATCTGGTGCTTCAACCCATGACTTAATAATGTGGTGCTTGTACAATGGAATATTTATTCGTGGCTATGCAGATGAACCAACCTTTATCATCGAATTCGTTTACCAGGGTGAGGCATACACCCTTTCGGCGTCATATGGTAAGTTTTTAAGCTGCTTAATGGTCATGCGACTACTTTTATAGTTTGATATTCGAAGAATGAATTTTGTAAGCTCTTGTAAACTCCTGTCACACACACAGTACTCCCGGAAATCTAATTCTTTTTTGTGTGGAAACAAGCCTTACTGATGATAAAGTTCCACACTACCTAGTGGATTGCTATCTTAGTTTATTCATCTATAATGGTGAAAGTATGCTACTTCCATCTATTCGGTCGCCAGCACAAAATCCAGTTTACCTACTTTGGCTTTCTGCATAGTATAATTAGCTCTCAAACAGCTCAAGCCTGGCTCAAAGCTGATTAAAATAGACGCATCCCCCGATAGTCGTTGCAAAAACAAATTGAACCCTTTTTAAAGATAGGAACAACTCATTGCAGTGTTGGGACACTAATTACCAGATTTTTGTAGACAACTCAGTTAGTTCCTCAACCACAAAGTCGCCAACATCTTTAAGATGGACCGGAGGTAAGTCGTCTGGTTCTGGTCATTTGTAGAGCTTCAAAGTTGGAGTTCCTTGCAGAGTTCTGCCTTATTAGATGGATTAGTCGTAACATACCATGAAGGGTAAAACAGTGTGATCGATGTCGCCGGAGCAGCAGACCAATTGTACTTCTCCTCGAAAAACTGCCCATTGTTCAAGACGCCGGTGGATGTTAATGATTGACATCTCGTCAGCTTTACAGATTGTTTCAGTCACACCAGACCTCTTGCTGCCAGTGACTAAGATGAGTTGAAAGAGCTTCCGGCAGTGACCGGAAGTAATTACTGTTTCCAAATCATTGATACGCTCCAACCACCAGGCTTCTATGACCTTACACAAACTTTGCACGACTTCATTACGTAACAGTCTTCATTTATGGTCAAACTCACGGTCACCCGGAGTAGACCAACGTGCTTCAATGAGTTGTAAGAAGCCTGTAGAAACCCTGTGCTTGTAGGCAGGACGTTTTGCAAAGCCGCAAGTGAATTTACTAGCCTTCTTCATGGCGTCATGCAGTTTCAGCCAACACACATCTATACTTTTCGGTTGGTTGATAGCTAGCCTTGAACTCAGCTCGGTTTGATATTTTGTTGCAACAGGAGCTGCAATCAATTTATTGACATCGATCCGTTTAGGACGATGAATTTGTTGGCCACTGAAATGTAAGGTAAGATTAGTGCAAACAAGGACATGATCCGAGTCCAGATAGGTACTCCAAAAGGAGTGACAGTTTTGTACACAACCACGCCAGCGGTAGTTGAACGCGATGTGATGGGAAGACGCCAGGTAGAACATCAAGGACAACTGTGCTGAAAGTTAGTGTTAGTCAGAAACAGGTCGTAGTCTGCGCAAATTTGCAATAAACAGTAACCGTTATCTGACATGCAACTATCAAGTCCCTATCGACCACCTAAACAACTCTGTTCTGTGTCTAGACGCCCGACCTGAGCATTCAAGTCTCTTGGCTAGTACTACAATATCTGTCGAGAGCATCTTCTGTTGAAGAACAGTTAACTGGTAGTAAAACTCATTCTTGGTCTCATCCGGGCTGTAATCTGTCAGAGTGTAGGTGGAGATGATGAAAAGACATCGTTCCGCACACCTATTTTTTTCTTACTTTGATGGAGCTTTCTAATCTAACAGCACATAATCGACTGTTAATGGGGATCCAATCGATCAGTGCTGCCTCAGCTCTAGCGCTTAGTGCGACACCAACGCCAGCTAAACTGGATGGAGATGCCACAGCGCCCCCGGACAAACGCACGTGAAACAAGGTTTTCGAAGTAACAGATGGAGAGAGAATTTGTAGGACTTCATTAGTCTTGAGCACGGGTCTCGGACAGAAAACAGACATCGATAATGAGACATTCTAAAGACATAGCCACTCCTATCTGTTGTCCGACCTGCATTAGTGTGCAAACGTTGAAGGAAGCCAGTTCGAATGGTATACGTGGTTTCAGTATTTGCATTCGGTGGTAGCATTCAACTTTCGACCAGTCAGTAACTCGATATCGTTTAGATAGTAAAGAGTTTCTGTATACGTTAGGAAGTATTACGTATAAAGTAGGTATGCAAAATATATCCATAGGATTTATTATTAGTAGAACTTATGCGATTTGGGATGTTTATAACCTTTCGCCTCAATAAACTTAGGACATCAAAGAACATTCGAATCAAAGTATCACGTTGTTTTGTGAGAATTAGCTATTTAGTTTACGTACTGGGTTCAGCTGTGCATAGAAGTTATTTATCAGCAGGATATTGGCCAAAGTATTTTTGCGAACTACATACACTGGGTAAGTAGCCTCACAGATTAGTATCATGTATTGGTCTAGTCGTATTTAGCATTACATCAACCGATTCTTATTTTAGTGCAGCATGGTCAAATTAGCTAGCGACTCAGCATGCTTAATACATTTCAACCGCTTAAATCAACGTTTCGCAAGGATTGTTTGTGTACGAAGGTTAAGTGTACTTTTCATACTATTTACACAGTATTTAAAGTATACATGAATATACAAGTAAGCAGATTATATTCTAACACTTATGATCTGCAATTAACTTTATCTTTAGATTCACAATCTGGTACTATCAATTTCTATCATGTGGAGACTAACCAGAAGTTATAAGAACACCAGAACATAAATTTATTTCAGTTTTATTCTGTACATAAGTCTATTGCATTTTTATCGAAAACATAAAAACCTTCTTTACTTAATAATAAGTTTTAAAAAATCGAAAATAAATGCACGAACCAAAGAAAAAAATAAGGGCAAAGTTGTTTGTTCAACTAGTTCTTAAGGTCATTGGATCTAAAAGAATATGTTGTTTGATGATATTTGGTAAAGGTAATTGATCAACCCATGTTACAAACGAAAGTGCATTTTCATTTATCAGCGAATTATACTTATCAGTCATCTGGCAAATTAATATAAAACGGTACTGTAAAATTCGACGGATTGCACGTATCCCTAGAAGTCTTAATTTTAGTGGTGCATTCAGATGGCATCGTATATATTCTAAGCTATGAAATTCAAAGTAAAACAAACCAATAGTATTAGTTACTGCGTAAGATTGTATACACTAACGTATCATGAATCTGCTAACAATGCTTCACTTTCTTTAATATCTAGTATAGGTTTTAAACTTAGTGTGTTAGAAAATCCATATAAGTTTTGATCACAGCACTTTTTTCAAATCAATAGTAAAAGATTAGCTAGCTGACCAGCAGATGAACTGCTCGAACTTATCGATGAATTAACTGAAAAAAAACTGGGTGAATATTAAGAAAAGGAGAAAGTAAAACTGAATGGCAAAAACTTAATAAGTGGTGTGGAATAAGTGAGTTTACAGCAACAATTTTGTTACCTATAACACAAATATAATCTACGTTTGCATCCCAGCGAATAAACAGTAAGATTTCCCCTCCCACTAGTATTAAATCCGAATCAGGTTGCTGAATTCAGTCAGTCGAGCATAAAGTTGGTCACTTTATTAATTGTTTAAAATAGATGGCATGTGGATCCAGGATGAGCTTTTCATCCTGTTGTTTCTTTATGTAGATTATTCCTAAAATGTTTTGAAGAATCTCCTGTAACTTGGTAGTCAGTGGTTGGATAGTTTTCTCTATTTTACCGTACACAGTTTCATCAAGCGTTTGTAATTAAACTTTACTTCCCATCTTAGGGCCATAGAGTGTTTAAATTAAAACATCAATTGCACCCACTAAATTACCTTCAGAAAAAGTTAACACCCAGTAAACTTACATGTTATTCAAGTATTGGTTTTTCGAGTCTACTGGATTTGACTGAGTTATACTATCAATTAAAAGGCATCCATGTAACTGGCCTAAGATGAGCAATTGACAAATCAATATTTCAAGTTTATTCATTATGGATCCAATGTTGTTTGAATAAAAAACACATGATAGCAAAGGTCTAAGAAGCCTTTCTCCCAAAACATTTGTGTTGCATGTTAATTGTTCATTCTGCATAGAACTGTCTCCAGTTGCTTTTATGAATAAAGAATATCAAATTAATTTTCACTGCAATGTCTCAAAGTTACAACAATGGATAAGAGATTTTGAATAGGAATTTACAAATTTTAATTTACCTCCGTGTGCTACAAATATTTTTTAGCAATCCAACTCTATTACTCCTTACGCCATAATATCCTACATTTTGCGATAGCCAGATTTACTAAGTTACTTTGTTTCTTAGCATAATTTCCAGTATATCCAACCAGTACTAACAATATGGTCTGCAAATTAATATTATAATCTCGTAAAACTGCTCTTCTATTTTTGAATTTTATATCAAGTAAAGTAGTGAAACTTACCAACCAAAACTCTAATTCCCTAATCGTGACTTTGTTTCGCGAAATTCGCATAGAAGGCCTAAATGTGGTTATTTGAGCATCTGGCAGTTTGATGGGAGTAGCTTGTGGCTTTGTATATGTACGTCATGCATTAAGTTCACAAGCAAAACATCCACTGCTAGATTAGAATTCACCTGACAGTTCTCTGGTTACAGCTAAATCTGATAGCACTGTACTTACTCCTCACTATTTGGAGTTCAGGTGAGTTGGAGGTCACCCAGTTATTTTAACAGGTGACTTAATTACATACATAGACGCTAACTTTAAGCATAAGGAGAAACATATGTCAACTCAACAGTGGGCAGAGAGATTATATCAATGTTGTTACTAATCTAGAGGATCAATAAACTATTGGTACTTCTTCCAGACTACGTGCTTGAACTTTGTTCATGATCTTGTTTCATTAGATATCGAACTATTGAGACTGGAAAGTCTCTCAGCCTATATCAAAGATTGATATGTGGTAAATGGAGGTAAGATGTGATTGGTCACTGAGCATGAACTGACACACAGTTTTCTTACTATTAAAAATAAATGGTATCTTTACCATCACTGATTTTCACTCTGGAATCACTAAGTATAGACTGTGTGTAATTGTGTTAAATAAACTATTGGCTTACACTCTGGTAATCTATTTCTTGCCGTGAATCGTATATTTGGTAAAACGTAGTCCCAGTCTGTATAGCTTTAAATCTCAATCCTGGTTATATTAATGTGTTATAGTAGTATAACGTACCGAAAAAAAATATTTTTGTTCACCCGTCATAATAAGACATACACAAGGATAAATTAAAGAGGTATATCATGGGTCACGGATTAAATTTCCAACCCTTTACAGTCCAGTACTATATTCAGTCAGCATTGAAACAACAGTAATGTTTAACAAAGGAAATACGAGGATTTCAAATGCTGACTTTAGATCAAGAGCACTAAGGTTGCGGTGGTAAATCAGATAGTATTGTAGACTTGACTGAAGCGACCTGAGTATATTTTACTCATACCCAGTTACTACATTCTCCAGAAACGTTTATATTTTAATACTCTATGCTTTCGTTCACCTACATTGGTCGCTGCTTTTGGTGCTCCAATATTGTTGACATTATTTTTAGTATTTTACTCGTTGAGTATCTCACAGTGTGCTAAAAAGAGCGGGTACATAGAGATCACAAGTTTGTACATGCACCTACATTAATCTACCCGCTTGATTATAGGCCGAAAACTTGGAATCGCCTTACTTGAGAAATGCTGTAATAAACTTACTGTACGTTAAACGCAGAAGATTTGCTTTTATCCACAGTTGCAATACAGAGATGATACGCTCACTATTATCTGACTTAATGCGTCCCAGTAGCTGATCAACAGTGAATAACACCTGACTTCCTTCATCATTTTCAAATAAGGGTTCTGAATGTAAAAGTCCCATACTACTCATGCTGCGTGTATGACTGTTCATACGCAAGTCAACTGGTAAAAGAGCACTGCAAAGGCACAGATGTGAAAGAAGACTTTCTAAGCAGTTGCAAGCCCCGTGAGCGCGACAGAGCAATTGTGTTATAGCTGTTAATCCAATGACATTGGAATGAAATAGACTAGCCGGTTCTAATTTGTCAATTAGTTGTTTCGTTGCACCACATAAACCTTCGTTGCAAAGGAGGATCAATGGTGTGTCTCCAGTAATGTGATGCTGAATTAAATAAACAAAATGCACAAATGAATACCAAATGTTCTTTTATTTAAAAAAAATACTAGAACGAAACGTGGATTAGATTGTTAAGGACGTTTAATCTATTCTACATACAACTTGTGATACTTTGGTTACATTGGGGCGAACCCAACAAGATTCACATGTGTCAACAAAGACTGATCGAAATGTAGTCTTCAATATCGATAACGAGATAACTCAGACCTTACAAATGATAAAAAAGCTACATGCTTAGGACCTTTGCGGTGACATTTCGTATTTTGATAATATTTGATTTTACCAGAAACATTTATAGATTAAGCCGCAACTTGTATTTCGTTAGTGAAGGTCAGATGTACTCTTTGGATAAACAGCTAACAACATATAGTATTAAATTATTAATTGATTTGAATTTTTCGGTTTTAATAATAAGGTAACAATAAAAATACTAACTGTAAACTTACACTAGCAGACATATCCAAACCACAGTCAAGGAGTATCTTGAGGCCAAGCCCATATGTTTTAGACACGAGAAAGCAAACGAGTGAACCAATTTCCTCGCATTTGTTGAAGTCCTTTAGGACAACGCCATCATTTACATAGCTCTTCAGAAGAGACAACGGGCATTCTGAACTTTTTATATTTGCAAATAGAGCACTAAAGTTCATCCTGAGTTCATTGTTGAATAAGACTGTAAACTGAATAAATAACAGTTATGAATTAATGATATTTATTTTACCAATAAAAATAGGCAGTTAAGTGTGGGAGCTAGGTAACGGCAGTCATAACTATGGTAAAAAAATGGTAATAATAGTGGCATTATTGAATATGTCCGGAACAATACAGAATTCTCAATGGGAAAAAAGAGGATATATTAGGTCCAGAATCATTTCTTAGTATTCTATACATAAAAATCAGATCACGTCTTAAACTGCGATAAGACAGAGTAGAGAGGCCTAGCTTTTCAAGCCGCTCTTTGTGTGGTAAACCACGGAGTTCTGAAATTGCACAGGTAGCTTCCCTTTGTACTTTTTCCAGGATATCCGAGTCGCTTCTTAAAATGGGCTTGTAGCCTGAACGCAGTTCTCAAGCTTTGTTCTCACTAAGGTTGTGTATACTGTAGTTAACATGGTAGAATTTAACTTGGTGAATATCCGTCTTAAAGCCCATAGGGTTATCTTAGTAAACGTCGAACATCCCGGCCTATCCAGGGATGGCCGTGCTTTTTTTTCTTTGGGACTGTCAAGGGTATATATGATTGAGTTAACCGATTGTATAACTGCCTGAAATGAGTCACCAGGACTTAAGTTGGCTTGGGAGGAAGTCGTCTACTACACATTCTGGGCTGCGATATACTACACCTAATCCAATATCTTGCCGTCTACACTTCAGCCTGCAACGCACCAGTCCACATGTCCCTGAATCACGTGTTACTGTCTTAAAAGCTCGTATGGTTAAGGTACTTTTCGTGTACAGGATAGCCCCACCTCCCCTACGGTTTAATCTATCAGTCGTACTGGATAAAAAACAGTCAAGTGAATTTCATTACCGAAAACTTCTAACATTGACCATGTTTCTGAGACAACAATAATACCCGGTTTTCTATAACCACGATTGCTTTGAGCTCCGTCATTTTACTTAGTAGGCTGCGAGCATTTGTGTAGCACACCTTTAATTCTGTGGAGAACTTTTCATGACCACCCAGGGTGGTTTGGGGATCGTTTTGCTCCGAACTTTTACAATTTGAAAACCCCTAAGTTTCGGCGTCGCTCATTTATTTCTACTTCCGCAACTCGTCTCTTAATACGGTCAACCAGGCTGAGATCCTTACGGACGTATATTACGGATCCAATCAATTTGCGTGAGTTTCCCGGTATCAGGTTTCTTTCTTCAACCGTAGCAAAGGTAACCTTCAAGAGGCAGCTTTTCTGAGGACTTTCAGAATCCACCTTTTGTCCTATTCTATAAAGCTTACACATGCCGACTCCTGAAACTGTTCCTGAGGATAGCTTGCTTATTAAGGAATTAATATGACTGAGGTCGTGCTCAAATCTAGCCTTTGGTTCCTTTTCGGAAGATTCTCTTAACTTAAGAAAAATGAATGACCTCTCAGAGAGGTCCGTCATAACATGCTGTGGAAGTTTAGTCCCTGAAACCGTTTCTTCCCTGCAGTCTGATTCCAATTTAGCATCAAACGCAGAGGTCAAATTCTGTCTTCTTACTTTTCTTTTCCCGATTGTGACTGTGAGCCCATCATTTACCTTATTTTGCCTCTTGAACACATCCTCTACACCGCCCAGACCTGGCTCCCCGATAGTTTGCTCAGCGTCGATATGTGAATCCGGAACTGATATCGTAGATTCATATACCTTTCAGGGACTCCCTTATTACGTACTAATCTCCCCATTTTGTGGAAAACTTTGTCTGTTTTGGGGAAGCCACTATAGAAGATTATGGGAAAATGGCACAAAAACCCAATGTCCTAATTTTGCGGAAATGGCCTAAAAACCCCAAAATCTCCCCAGATGTGGAAAAATTCCCCGAAATTTTGAGTTTTTCCACAATATTTCCCAAAAATTTCGAATTTTTCTCCAATATTACCACTAAGCTTTGAAGATTTCCCCAGAAGTTTACTACACTTTGGGTAAATCTGTCTATATTTATTTATGAAACAGCAAACTTTTCCGCAACTTCGGTGAAATTATCTGAAATGCCTCGCTTTAACGCGATGCATCTCAACAATTTTCCACAGACATCAAGGAAAAGCCGGTCGATAATAACGACATAAAAGTTTATTCTCATCACAATCTACCAATTCTGAGTAAATGAACAAAGTTCGATGGCCTTCCCCAAAGTTTGGGGAAAAACCCCAAAATCTGCATTGCGCAGTTTTCCAGACAAACACTTCATCACCAATGCATTTTTAAACCTTTGAAGATGAAATTACAATTAATAAATATTATTATTATTATTAATATCATGAACTTTGGTCACGAATACAAAACCGATGTTGAGGTTTTGTTGTAGTACGTCAGACAAACACGAGACAATGAGTTGTCGGCTTTAAACCACTTTTTCAAAATTCTCACGCCATGCAGGTGGGTTATTTTTACTGTCTACAATTACGCTTAATGCTTTTGTTCAGTTTGACTAATTGTTTCTTTTAGACTAATAATTAAGAGCTTCATAAAAGTGCTAAAAGACGGGCTAAAGCCAATAGAGATTTAAAGTTGATGGGCTGTCCCAAATCAACCTTTTACAAGGGTTGAGGAAGTTAAAAGCTGAGTTTGATAAAAATTATCTGTTAACGACCACTGACTATGAGAACCACAGTTCAGATGTTGTCGGAGTTGGGACCGCCATAGATACACAACGGTGTAGCAGTATCGTCCCACAATCAGCCACTGTCTCATGTACTTACGTCCAATGTACAGCCATTACAGCCAACGGTATAGTCAATGTTTCTTCGGATCGCAAAATATAGGTAGTGTCTGGATTTGTATTTACACAAGAGCTAGCAAACACTAATTTTAAGCATAAGGAGAGACATCGTCTAACATGCCGACCTCCTGCATCAAACCAACGATGGACTCAAATAGACTATATTGACATCAGTCTTCGTTGGAGAGGCTCGATAGAAGATTGTTGCTCATTCTGGAATACCTGCTTGGACTCCGATCATCCTCTAATACGGGCACGCATCTGCTTGCACCTCACTGGACGCGGAAAATCCACAGTAAAAAGACCCATTAGAATTGAATTGAGTAATGAGAAAACAAAAAGTAGGTTCCAGGAACAACTGAGGTCACAATTAGGTAGTTCTGAAAACGAGACTGACCCATATGTTGCTTGGAAAGATATAAAAGCAGCTGTGGAAACAGCAGTGACATCTGTTAGTGATTTAAACCAAAGGGTTACAAAGAACCAATGGATTTCCTCTAGGTCTGTTGCACTGATGGATTCTCGTAAACTCGTCCCATCAGGCTCTGAACACGATGAAGAACGAAAACAAATCAGATCTAGGTTAAACAAAAGTCTAAGGAACGACTGTGGGCAGTGGTGGGCAACGAAAGCAAAATAGACGGAAAAGGCAGCGGTTGTAGATAACGCAAGACAGCTTTTCGGACTAATAAAAGAAACTCAAATTAAGAAGTCAAGTGTAAGTGAGACTAATTCAGAAAAATACGACACTTATCTGCTCCCAGTCCAGAAGTTTAGGACGATGGGCAGAACATTTTAAGGAGCGATTCAGCTGGTCTTCAGCTACTCTACAACTACCCACCATTCCCAGACAGTCTGAATGGAACATTGAAGTAAGTCCACCGAATCTATCTGAAATTTAAAAGGCCATAATTAACCTGAAACGAGGAAGGGCAGCTGGTCCAGATGGATTGGCTCTAGACATCTTTAAGAATGGTGGTCCAATTGTAGCGATTAGGTTAACTAATATTTTACCTAAAATCTGGAAGTTCGATGTAAGCCCATCTGACTGGTCACAGTCACTGATTGTCCCAATGTATACTAATCAGTTGCACCAACTAAAATGGGTGGGCACGGTTCAGACCTGAAACTTAGTGACTGAAAGTTGAACGTCTTAATCACCACGCCATCATTTTACACACTATAAAGTACATCGAGATGAGCACTACAATTTCGTTCCAATGTAAGTCTGGTTGGGATTGGTGTAAATAACCACCTTGAACGCTAGTCTCAAAACAAACACAGAAGCTGTGATGTAAACGGAAACTGAACAAATAGTATAGAAGGGTTAAAATAATACTGACTCCTTGCAATAATAGCTCCCAGACCCATGGAACTATAGGCCCAAACTTACAGGGTGATTTTGAAAAATATTAAGGCGAAACAAAGGACTTCCCTGAACTAAGATTTTTCTGAATAGATTAAATTGAGACAATCATTGGTGTATGGTTAGGATCCTAACGCAAAATATATTTGTTCATGGTTAATTTCTATGGACAATCGTGTTCCAACATGAGAACATTTATGATTTTAGGACATGTTTTACAGGTCCTGGTAGGATGCCCCCAAATGCCCTGGTACGGCCGAGAGTGGAGAGAGTCCTCTCTCCCTCTCGAAATGCTCTCACATGGCCACGCGTATATAGCCTCTGCCAGGGAAGTCCTACTCACTGCCTTCTCGTGGCAATTCTGTTGTTTACGAAATTGAGAGGACGAAAAGCGAACGTCCGGCGCTTTAACCGGGTTGGTGGACATGCAGCGTACACCTATTTATTTATTTATTTGAACACATAAATATTGGTACAAGAGAGTGCCAATATATATGCGTCACACAAAACAATGGGAATTTAAAGAGAAGGAAAAAGAAAAATGGTAAGGAGCGTAAAAAAAGAGAACAATAACGAAGAGATTGGATTAAGGTAGTGTAATAATAATAATAATAGTAATAATGGGGGAACGGAAAGGTACAATCAGAAGAAATCTTTCAGTTAAGGAAGATACAACCACTTTTACAAAGAAAGTAAAAGAAGGTTAGAGCAGGATCGTCACTGGTTTCTATTCTGAGCCATATCTGATAACGTCTCTAGCCACTGTGTAGCACCATCTCTCGGACCCCAACCAGGGAGTCGTGAAGGACCAACACAAGCCAGTCCTTTGCAGCTTTCTTTCATGCCACGACACCATGTCAT